GGGGTGAATGGGGAGGGCGTGGGAAAGAAGGGGCGTGGCTTCCTCTTAAAGGGGCAACGCCAAGGGAGCGTGGCGCCGCTCTCGGCTGCGGGATAGGTGTGAATGGGGAGGGCGTGGGAAAGAAGGGGCGGGGCTTGCTCTTAAAGGGGCAACGCCAAATGAGCGTCGCGCCGCGGGGGGGGGTGTGTGAATGGGGAGGGCGTGGGAAAGAAGGGGCGTGGCGTGGGAAGGAAGGGGAGGGGCTTGGTCTTAAAGGGGCAACGCCAAGGGAGCGTCGCGCCGCTCTCGGCTGCGGGATGGGTGTGAATGGGGAGGGCGTGGGAAAGAAGGGGCGTGGCGTGGGGAGGAAGGGGCGGGGCTTGTTCTTAAAGGGGCCGTTCCCCATTGAGCAGAGCGGGCCCCCCCCGGCCGGGTGCTGAACACGAGGGCCATGAAGGAGATGTACCGGAGCTACGTGGAGATGCTGGTGAGCACCGCGCTGGACCCCGACATGATCCAGGCGTTGGAAGATACCAATGGTGAGACCCCCCCCCAGCCCCACAACCATCACTGCCCCATAGATTCCCCCCCCCCCCCATAACTGCACACCGCCCCACAGATGAGCTCTACCTGCCCCCCATGCGCAAGATCGATGGGATCCTCAATGACCACAAGAAGAAGGTTCTGAAGAGGGTGACGCTCAACCCGTCCCTGCAGGTGGGGCTGGGGGGGGTTCTGTGGGGCTGGGGGGTTCTGTGGGGTGGGGGGGTCTGTGGGGCTGGGTGGGTCTATGGAGCTGGGGGGGTTCTATGGGGCTGGGGGGGTCTGTGGGGCTGGGGGGGTCTATGGGGCTGGGGGGGGTTCTATGGGGCTGGGGGGGTCTGTGGGGCTGGGGGGGGTCTCTATGGGGCTGCGGGGGTCTGTGGGGCTGGGTGGGTCTATGGGGGTGGGGGGGTTCTATGGGGCTGGGGGGGTCTGTGGGGCTGGGGGGGGTCTCTATGGGGCTGCGGGGCCTATGGGGCTGGGTGGGTCTCTGGGGCTGGGGGGGTTCTATGGAGCTGGGGGGTTCTATGGGGCTGGGGGGGTCTATGGGGCTGGAGGGGTTCTATGGGGCTGGGGGGGGTTCTGTGGGGCTGGGGTGGGTCTGGGGGACTGGGGGGGTCTGGGGGACTGGGGGGGTCTCTATGGGGCTGCGGGGGTCTGTGGGGCTGGGTGGGTCTATGGAGCTGGGGGGGTTCTATGGAGCTGGGGGGTTCTATGGGGCTGGGGGGGTCTATGGAGCTGGGGGATGGGCTGGGGGGGGGGGGTCTGGGGCTGGGGGGGGTCTGTGGGGCTGGGGGTCTGTGGGGCTGGGGGGGGTCTCATGGGGCTGCGGGGGTCTGTGGGGCTGGGGGGGTTCTATGGAGTGGGGGGGGTTCTATGGGGCTGGGGGGGTCTATGGAGTTGAGGGGCTCTGTGGGGCTGGGGGGGGTTCTATGGGGCTGGGGGGTGTCTATGGGGCTGTGTCTCTCCATGGGGCTGTGTCTATGGGGCTGTGTCTCTCCATGGGGCTGTGTCTATGGGGCTGTCTCCATGGGGCTGTGTCTATGGGGCTGTGTCTCTCCATGGGGCTGTGTCTATGGGGCTGTGTCTCTCCATGGGGCTGTGTCTATGGGGCTGTGTCTCTCTATGGGGCTGTGTCTATGTCTCTCCATGGGCTGTGTCTATGGGGCTGTGTCTATGGGGCTCTGTCTCTCCATGGGGCTGTGTCTATGGGGCTGTGTCTATGGGGCTGTGTCTATGGGGCTGTGTCTCTCCATGGGGCTGTGTCTATGGGGCTGTGTCTATGGGGCTGTGTCTCTCCATGGGGCTGTGTCCATGGGGCTGTGTCTATGGGGCTCTGTCTCTCTATGGGGCTGTGTCCATGGGGCTGTGTCTCTCCATGGGGCTGTGTCTATGGGGCTGTGTCTATGGGGCTGTGTCTCTCTATGGGGCTCTGTCTCTCTATGGGGCTGTGTCTATGGGGCTGTGTCTATGGGGCTCTGTCTCTCCATGGGGCTGTGTCTATGGGGCTGTGTCTATGGGGCTGTGTCTCTCTATGGGGCTGTGTCTCTCCATGGGGCTGTGTCTATGGGGCTCTGTCTATGTTTGGGTGCTGTGTCTATGGGGCTGTGTTCATGGGGCTGTGTCTCTCCATGGGGCTGTGTCTATGGGGCTGTGTCTCTCCATGGGGCTGTGTCTATGGGGCTGTGTTCTGGGGCTGTCTCTCCATGGGGCTGTGTCTCTCTATGGGGCTGTGTCTATGGGGCTCTGTCTCTCCATGGGGCTGTGTCTATGGGGCTGTGTGCTCTCTCATGGGGCTGTGTCTATGGGGCTGTGTCTCTCCATGGGGCTGTGTCCATGGGGCCTATGGGGCTGTGTGCTCTCCCGGGGCTGTCTCTCTGTGCCTCTCCATGGGGCTGTGTCTATGGGGCTGTGTCTATGGGGCTGTGTCTATGGGGCTGTGTGCTCTCCATGGGGCTGTTTCTTGTCTATGGGGCTGTGCCTCTCCATGGGGCTGTGTCTATGGGGCTGTGTCTCTCTCTGGGGCTGTGTCTATAGGGCTGTGTCCATGGGGCTGCGTCTATGGGGCTGTGTCCATGGGGCTGTGTCTATGGGGCTGTGTCTCTCCATGGGGCTGTGTCTATGGGGCTGTGTCTCTCCATGGGGCTGTGTCTATGGGGCTGTGTCTATGGGGCTGTGTCTATGGGGCTCTGTCTCTCCATGGGGCTCTATGGGGCTGTGTCTATGGGGCTGTGTCTGGGGCTGTGTCTCTCCATGGGGCTGTGTCTATGGGGCTGTGTCCATGGGGCTGTGTCTCTCTCTCCATGGGGCTGTGTCTATGGGGCTGTGTCTATGGGGCTGTGTCTATGGGGCTGTGTCCATGGGGCTGTGTCCATGAGGCTGTGTCTCTCTATGGGGCTGTTTCTCTCCATGGGGCTCTGTCTCTCCATGGGGCTGTGTCCATGGGGCTGTGTCTATGGGGCTGTGTCTATGGGGCTGTGTCCATGGGGCTGTGTCTATGGGGCTGTGTCTCTCTATGGGGCTGTGTCTCTCCATGGGGCTGTGTCTATGGGGCTCTGTCTCTCAATGGGGCTGTGTCTATGGGGCTGTGTTCATGGGGCTGTGTCTCTCCATGGGGCTGTGTCTATGGGGCTGTGTCTCTCCATGGGGCTGTGTCTATGGGGCTCTGTCTCTCTATGGGGCTGTGTCTCTCTATGGGGCTGTGTCTCTCTATGGGGCTCTGTCTCTCCATGGGGCTGTTTCTATGGGGCTGTGTCTCTCCATGGGGCTGTGTCCATGGGGCTGTGTCTATGGGGCTCTGTCTCTCCATGGGGCTGTGTCTATGGGGCTGTGTCTATGGGGCTGTGTCTATGGGGCTCTGTCTCTCCATGGGGCTGTTTCTATGGGGCTGTGCCTCTCCATGGGGCTGTTTCTATGGGGCTGTGTCTCTCCATGGGGCTGTGTCTATAGGGCTGTGTCCATGGGGCTGCGTCTATGGGGCTGTGTCCATGGGGCTGTGTCTATGGGGCTCTGTCTCTCTATGGGGCTGTGTCCATGGGGCTGTGTCTCTCCATGGGGCTGTGTCTATGGGGCTCTGTCTCTCCATGGGGCTGTGTCTATGGGGCTCTGTCTCTCAATGGGGCTCTGTCTATGGGGCTGTGTCTATGGGGCTGTGTCTATGGGGCTGTGTCCATGGGGCTCTGTCTCTCCATGGGGCTGTGTCTATGGGGCTGTGTCCATGGGGCTCTGTCTCTCCATGGGGCTGTGTCTATGGGGCTGTGTCTATGGGGCTGTGTCCATGGGGCTGTGTCTATGGGGCTGTGTCTCTCCATGGGGCTGTGTCTCTCCATGGGGCTGTGTCCATGGGGCTGTGTCTATGGGGCTGTGTCTATGGGGCTGTGTCCATGGGGCTGTGTCTATGGGGCTCTGTCTCTCCATGGGGCTGTGTCTATGGGGCTGTGTCTATGGGGCTGTGTCTATGGGGCTGTGTCCATGGGGCTGTGTCCATGAGGCTGTGTCTCTCTATGGGGCTGTTTCTCTCCATGGGGCTCTGTCTCTCCATGGGGCTGTGTCTATGGGGCTGTGCCTCTCCATGGGGCTGTGTCCATGAGGCTGTGTCTCTCTATGGGGCTGTTTCTCTCCATGGGGCTCTGTCTCTCCATGGGGCTGTGTCCATGGGGCTGTGTCTATGGGGCTGTGTCTATGGGGCTGTGTCCATGGGGCTGTGTCCATGGGGCTGTGTCTATGGGGCTGTGTCTATGGGGCTGTCTCCATGGGGCTGTGTCTATGGGGCTCTGTCTCTCCATGGGGCTGTGTCTATGGGGCTGTCTCCATGGGGCTGTGTCTATGGGGCTCTGTCTCTCCATGGGGCTGTGTCTATGGGGCTCTGTCTCTCCATGGGGCTGTGTCTATGGGGCTCTGTCTCTCCATGGGGCTGTGTCTATGGGGCTGTGTCTATGGGGCTGTGTCTATGGGGCTGTGTCTCTCCATGGGGCTGTGTCTCTCTATGGGGCTGTGTCCATGGGGCTGTGTCCATGGGGCTGTGTCTATGGGGCTGTGTCTATGGGGCTGTGTCTATGGGGCTGTGTCCATGGGGCTGTGTCTATGGGGCTGTGTCTATGGGGCTCTGTCTCTCCGTGGGGCTGTGTCTATGGGGCTGTGTCCATGGGGCTGTGTCTATGGGGCTCTGTCTCTCCATGGGGCTGTGTCCATGGGGCTGTGTCTCTCCATGGGGCTCTGTCTCTCCATGGGGCTGTGTCTATGGGGCTGTCTCCATGGGGCTGTGTCTATGGGGCTCTGTCTCTCCATGGGGCTGTGTCTATGGGGCTCTGTCTCTCCATGGGGCTGTGTCTATGGGGCTCTGTCTCTCCATGGGGCTGTGTCTATGGGGCTGTGTCTATGGGGCTGTGTCTATGGGGCTGTGTCTCTCCATGGGGCTGTGTCTCTCTATGGGGCTGTGTCCATGGGGCTGTGTCCATGGGGCTGTGTCTATGGGGCTGTGTCTATGGGGCTGTGTCTATGGGGCTGTGTCTATGGGGCTGTGTCCATGGGGCTGTGTCTATGGGGCTGTGTCTATGGGGCTCTGTCTCTCCGTGGGGCTGTGTCTATGGGGCTGTGTCTATGGGGCTCTGTCTCTCCATGGGGCGCTGCTCCGCCCCATTGCCGTTGCTCCTCCCGGCCGGCAGGAGGCGCTGCACACGTTCCCGCAGCTGCAGGCGGAGCCGGGGGAGGCGCTCGTGAGGCTGCGCCCGGGGGGGGACCCCTACAACAGGAAAACCCTCAGCAAGGTCAAGCGCAGCGCGGCCAAGCCCCAGGTAGGGGCCCTGTGGGGCGCTAGGGGGCGCTATGGGGTGCTATTGGTCTCTATGGTCTCTATGGGGCTCTATGGTCTCTATGGGGCTCTATGTGTCTCTATGGTCTCTATGGGGCTCTATGGGTCTCTATGGTCTCTATGGGTCTCTATGGTCTCTATTGGGCTCTATGGGCTCTGTGGGGCGCTATGGGGTGCTGTGGGGTGCTATGGGGCTCTCTGGGGCGCTATGGGGCTCTATGGTGTCTATGGTCTCTATGGGTCTCTATTGGGCTCTATTGGTCTCTATGGTCTCTATGGGTCTCTGTGGGTCTCTATGGTCTCTATTGGGCTCTATGGGGCTCTGTGGGGCGCTATGGGGCTCTATGGTCTCTATGGGTCTCTATGGTCTCTATGGTCTCTATGGGTCTCTATGGTCTCTATTGGGTTCTATGGGCTCTGTGGGGCGCTATGGGGTGCTGTGGGGTGCTATGGGGCTCTGTGGGGCGCTATGGGGCTCTATGGTCTCTATGTTCTCTATGGGTCTCTATGGTCTCTATTGATCTCTATGGTCTCTATGGGTCTCTATTGGTCTCTGTGGTCTCTATTGGTCTCTATGGGTCTCTGGGTCTCTATTGGTCTCTATGGTCTCTATGGGGCTCTGTGGGGCACTATGGGCTCTATGGTGTCTATGGGCACTATGGGGGCTATTTGAGTCTCTATGGGGCACTATGGGCTCTATGGTGTCTATGGGCACTATGGGGGCTATTTGGGTCTCTATGGGGCACTATGGGCTCTATGGTGTCTATGGTCTCTATGGGGGCTCTGTGGGGCTCTATGGGGCTCTCTGTGTTCTGGGGCCAGTTCTGAGCCCCTGTCCCCCCCTGGTCCCCCCCCCATGGCACAGGAGTTCAAGGTGGAGGTGGACAAATCCTTCCTGTGCACCCTGTACCACTCCCTGCACCACTACAAGTACCACACGTTCCTGCGCTGCAAGGACGAGGTGAGCCCCCCACCTCCTGCCCCATAGCCCCCCGCCCCATGGTGGTACCCAACCCCTTGGGGGTGCTGGTTGTCATGGAGACCGCCTCCATGGGGTTGGGGATGGTCCCCATCCTTTCCATGGCATCCTGGTGCTCATCCCGTTCATGGTGCACATCTCCATCCCTTCCATCCCATCATAGTTCCCATCTCCATCCCATCCCATCATAGTTCCCATCTCCATCCCTTCCATCCCATCATAGTTCCCATCTCCATCCCATCATAGTTCCCATCTCCATCCCATCCCATCCCATCATAGTTCCCATCTCCATCCCATCCCATCATAGTTCCCATCTCCATCCCATCCCATCATAGTTCCCATCTCCATCCCTCCCATCCCATCATAGTTCCCATCTCCATCCCATCATAGTTCCCATCTCCATCCCATCCCATCCCATCATAGTTCCCATCTCCATCCCTCCCATCCCATCATAGTTCCCATCTCCATCCCTTCCATCCCATCATAGTTCCCATCTCCATCCCATCCCATCATAGTTCCCATCTCCATCCCATCCCATCATAGTTCCCATCTCCATCCCATCCCATCATAGTTCCCATCTCCATCCCTTCCATCCCATCATAGTTCCCATCTCCATCCCTTCCATCCCATCATAGTTCCCATCTCCATCCCTTCCATCCCATCTTGGTTCCCATCTCCATCCCTTCCATCCCATCATAGTTCCCATCTCCATCCCTTCCATCCCATCTTGGTTCCCATCTCCATCCCTTCCATCCCATCATAGTTCCCATCTCCATCCCATCCCATCCCATCCCCTTCATGGTGCTGTCAATGGCAGCACCCATGGGTGCTGTCCATGGGTGCTCCCTATGGAGCTCTCCATGGTGCTACCTATGGGTGCTCTCTATGGAGCTACCTATGGGTGCTGTCCATGGGTGCTCTCTATGGAGCTCTCCATGGGTGCTCCCTATGGAGCTCTCCATGGAGCTACCTATGGGTGCTGTCCATGGGTGCTCCCTATGGAGCTCTCCATGGTGCTACCTATGGGTGCTCTCCATGGAGCTACCTATGGGTGCTGTCCATGGGTGCTCCCTATGGAGCTCTCCATGGTGCTACCTATGGGTGCTCTCTATGGAGCTACCTATGGGTGCTGTCCATGGGTGCTCCCTATGGAGCTCTCCATGGAGCTACCTATGGGTGCTGTCCATGGGTGCTCTCCATGGGTGCTCCCTATGGAGCTCTCCATGGTGCTACCTATGGGTGCTCTCTATGGAGCTCTCCATGGTGCTACCTATGGGTGCTCCCTATGGAGCTCTCCATGGAGCTACCTATGGGTGCTGTCCATGGGTGCTCCCTATGGAGCTCTCCATGGTGCTACCTATGGGTGCTCTCTATGGAGCTACCTATGGGTGCTGTCCATGGGTGCTCTCCATGGGTGCTCCCTATGGAGCTCTCCATGGAGCTACCTATGGGTGCTGTCCATGGGTGCTCCCTATGGAGCTCTCCATGGGTGCTCCCTATGGAGCTCTCCATGGTGCTACCTATGGGTGCTACCTATGGGTGCTCTCCATGGAGCTCTCCATGGTGCTATCTCTGGGCGCTCTCCATGGAGCTCTCCATGGTGCTACCCATGGGTGCTCTCTATGGAGCTCCCTATGGATTCTTCCTATGGGTCCCCCCATGGGTGCTCCCCATGCTGCTCCCTATGGGTTCTCCCTATGGGTTACCCCCATAGGCGCTCCCTATGGGTTCTCCCTATGGGTTGTCCCCATGGGTGCTCCCCATGGTGCTCCCTATGGGTTCTCCCTATGGGTTCCCCATGGGTGCTCCCCATGGTGCTCCCTATGGGTTCTCCCTATGGGTTACCCCATAGGCGCTCCCTATGGGTTCTCCCTATGGGTTGTCCCCATGGGTGCTCTCTATGGTGCTCCCTATGGGTTACCCCCATAGGCGCTCCCTATGGGTTCTCCCTATGGGTTCTCCCCATAAGTGCTCTCTATGGAGCTCTCCATGGTGCTGCCCACGGGTGCTCTCCATGGTGCTCCCTATGGCTGCTCTCCATGGCGTTCTCCATAGGCGCTCCCTATGGCTTACCCCATAGGCTCTCCCTATGGGTTCTCCCTATGGGTTACCCGCATAGGCTCTCCCTATGGGAGCACCCTATGGGTTACCCCCATAGGCGCTCCCTATGGGTTGTCCCCATGGGTGCTCTCTATGGTGCTCCCTATGGGTTACCCCCATAGGCGCTCCCTATGGGTTCTCCCCATGGGTTCTCCCCATAAGTGCTCTCTATGGAGCTCTCCATGGTGCTGCCCACGGGTGCTCTCCATGGTGCTCCCTATGGCTGCTCTCCATGGCGTTCTCCATAGGCGCTCCCTATGGCTTACCCCATAGGCTCTCCCTATGGGTTCTCCCTATGGGTTACCCCCATAGGCTCTCCCTATGGGTGCTCCCTATGGCTTACCCCCATAGACTCTCCCTATGGGTGCTCCCCCTCACTTCACCCCCCCCATATCCCCACAGACGACGGCGATCGAGGGCCGCGCCGAGGACCTGGGCCAGGAGGAGGTGGTGCAGCTCTGCATGGGCAACCAGGCCTGGCTCGAGCGCCTCTTCCACTCCTTCAGCGAGCTCCTGGCCCAGGCGCGGGCCTCCTGCGCCTGAGGAACCCCCCCCTTGGGTGTCATCCGCCCCATAGCGACCCCCAGCCCCACACACACCCCATGGACGCGGCGCCGGGGGCAACCGAGCCGTGGTGGGGAAGGCAGGGAGCCAAGGGCCACGTGTAAATGGGGTGGTCCATGGGGGGGGATGTGGGTGGATGAAAGGGGGGGGGGCAGCCCCATATTCATCCCCCCTTGTTGATGGGGAGCTCGTTTTGGGGACACACACACACACCCCCCCATGTGATGGGGACCTCGTTTTGGGGACCCCCCCTCCATTGATGGGGACCTCATTTTGGGGACCCCCCCTCCATTGATGGGGACATCCCCCCCATTGATGGGGACACCCAACTGCAATGGGGACCCCCCTTTTGGGGACCCCCCCTCCATTGATGGGGACACATCCCCCCCCCATGGTGGGGACACCCAACTGCAATGGGGACCCCCATTTTGGGGACACCCCCTCCATTGATGGGGACACCCCCCCCATTGATGGGGACACCCAACTGCAATGGGGACCCCCCTTTTGGGGACCCCCCCTCCATTGATGGGCACATCCCCCCCCCATTGATGGGGACACCCAACTGCGATGGGGACCCCCCTTTTGGGGACCCCCCCTCCATTGATGGGGACCTCATTTTGGGGACCCCCCTTCCATTGATGGGGACACCCCCCCGCATTGATGGGGACACCCAACTGCAATGGGGACCCCCCTTTTGGGGACCCCCCCTCCATTGATGGGGACCTCGTTTTGGGGACCCCTTCTCTATTGATGGGGACCTCATTTTGGGGACCCCCCCTCCATTGATGGGGACACCCAACTGCAATGGGGACCCCCATTTTGGGGACCCCCCCTCCATTGATGGGGACACCCCCCCATTGATGGGGACACCCCCCCATTGATGGGGACCCCCCCCCATGATGGGGACACCCCCCCTATGGATGGGGGCACCCAACTGCAATGGGCACCCCCTTTATG